CACCTCGTGGGATACCACGACCTCACTGATACGTGGCTGGGTCAATATAATCAGCCTCGTGTGCCAAACGCTGATCCGATCGGGCTCGCTGCAGTGTCTGGGCAGCCAAATCCATGAATCAACGACTGTAGTCCTGCATGACCACGGGATCGTGGAAATAACTCTACATCTACTGCCCCATACGATAGACGGTATGCAATCCGATCGCCTGCACAAAAGTAAAGAATTTAAACTATGTATTAGGCACGAAATTACAGGTATATAATTAATTATAACAGAAAACATACCAGAGCCTCGTGTCTCCCGGCGTATGAGACGTACCGACCTTCTGCCTGATGAACTGGGTTCCCGATAAAAAGTCGGGAAACAGTGCGGTACCATGCCATATAACCTTCAATAGGAAAGTGCTGCGGAGGTGGGTTTAAGTCACCTCGCCTGTCCCAAATAGCCAGCTGGGCGTTAAGCCAGCCAATAAATGTGTCGTCCACCCTGGACCGATCATCCCTCTCATAATGTAAAGGATGCCATGCAGGCGGAGTCGGTATAGGCTGCGGCAGGCCAAACTGACGAAAAACCCGCTCTGAGGCATGATGCTCCACACTATCGAAGCATGTGAGAGGGACAGAAGCCCTCCAAATATGTCGGCCGAACGTACAATACGCTGGTAGGGTACCTATCACCTCCTCGCTGTACGGCGTCCAGATGAACTATCAAATAACAACACAAACCGTTAGTATGCGCAACACTAAATTAAACAATAATTGGTACGTTTAGTTAGATATTCACCTGTGCGTCCTCCAGCAAATCCAACACATCCCTGATGCAGGGGAGATTATGATGGGCATCATACTCTCGTGCAAGTCTACGACGCATAACCCACCTACAAGCTAGAGGGAGATTCGGAATGTCTATATTAGCCGGTAGCTGTGGTAGAGGTGGCCGAAGCTGCAGAAATCGCTCCCAGACCCAAACCTAACATAGAAAGTTGATGTATAGTGTCAGATAAACTATAACTAGGTAGAATTGTAACTAACGGACATATTCGTTGAATATGTTGTCACCTGTAGAAGCGGGAGGAAGCCACAAACGTCTCTCTGTGTGCCCATGGAAGCCCGACACATCTGCCTGTACAAAAATGAGAGGACAACACCACCCCAGCTGTAGCTGGCTGTATCCGTCGAACCGGGGTGATATGATGCAGAAAAACGAAGGCTCACGTAGTTCCCCGAAAGTGTTCGGGGAACAAAGACCCCCCCAAAGTAGAAAGGAGCAGCAAACCGAGC